ATCTACATTCTGCTCGCAAAAAAGACCCTGAATTACCTGTAGCCTGCCACTTCAATGCACCACCTTGCTCCCTGGCCAACATCTCTGTCTCTGGTTTGCTACAGTGTTCCAGTGAAGCCCAACGCAAGCTGGAGGAACAACACGTCATTTTCCGCTTGGGGACCCTACAGCCCTCCGGACTCAATATTGAGTTCAATAATTTTAGGGCCTAAACTCTCCCATGTCCCAGCCCCCCACCCCACACATCAGGCCTTGTTACCACATAGCCTGCCACTACACACCCGCTGTTGTTAGTCACTAACAGTCTCCAATTAACAACTATTCACCCTCCCAGCCTGATCGTTAGCAACTCCTTTGTCTGTCCAACTGTCTTTCTCTGTCTTTGGGCTCTATCCTATCGTTTACTCTCTACCCCACCCACCTCCCTATTTTCTGCATATAAACTGACGATTTCCCAGCTACCATCAGTTCTGAGGAAGGGTCACTGGACCCGAAACGTTAACTCTGTTTTCTCCTCCTCTTACCTTTATACTCTTTTAGGGATTCACTCAATCCCTGCTGTCTGTACCTGACATGTGGTTCCTTCTTATCCTTGACCAACCTCAATTTCTCTAGTCATTCAGCATTCCCTAAACCTACCCGCCTTGCCCTTCACCCCAACAGGAACATACTGTCTCTGGACTCTCGTTACCTCATTTTTGAAGGCTTCCCATTTTCCAGCCGTCCCCAGTCAACTTTGGAAAGTTGTTGCCTAATACCATCAAGATTAGCCTTCCTCCAATTTAGAACTTTAACTTTTTGATCCAGTCTATCCTTTTCCATCACTATTTTAAAACAAATAGAATATAATCACTGGCCCTAATCTGCTCCCCCACTGACACCTCAGTCACCTGTCCTGCCTTATTTCACAAGAGCAGGTCAAGCTTTGCACCTTCTCTATTAAGTACATCCACATACTGAATCAGAAATTTTTTTTGTATACATTTAACAAATTCCTCTCCATCCAATCCCTTCACACCACAGCAGTCACAGTCTATGTTTGGAAAGTTAAATCCCCTACCATAGCCACCCTATTATTCTCACAGATAACTGAGATCTCCTTACAAATTTGTTTCTCAGTTTCCCGCTGACTATTGGGCATCTGAGGCAGAAGTGACCTGCACAAGAGGGACGGATTGAACCTAAACTAGAGGGGCACCAATATCCTGGTGGGGAAATTTGCAGTTTGGGAGGGTTTAAACTAGTCTGGCGGGGGTGAGACCCTAAGCAGGAGTGAGACCCAAGAGAAGGTTAAGGCTGGTACAGAAGTTAAAGAGAGCAAGTTAAATAGACAAGGCAGGCAAGAGCACTGCAGGGTACGAGGAAAGACTGATGAATTAAATGGCATTTATTTCAAAGCTAGTGGCTTGACAGGTAAGGCAGATGAACTCAGGGTATGGATGGGAACGTGGGACTGGGATATGGCTGAAATATGACTGAGGGGGATATAGGACTGGCAGCTTAATGTTTTGGGTAGAGATGCTTTAGAAAAGGATAGAAGGGGAGGCAAGAGAGGAGGGGAATGGCATTTTTGATGAGAGAAAACATCACAACAATACCTGGAGAGGATATTCCTGGGGATTTGTCCCATGAAGCTACATGGGTGGAACTGAGAAATAAGGAGGTGATCATTTTGTTGGGATTATACTACAGACCTCCAACAGTCAGCAGGACATTGAGCAGCAAATATGTAGGGAGATCATAGATAGCTGTAAGAATAATAGGTTTGTAAGAGAAGTAGATTTTAACTTCCCAAACATAGTTTGCGACTATCATAGTCTTAAGGGCTTGGATGGGGAGGAATTTGTTAACTGTGTTCAAGAAAACTTTTTCAATCAACATGTAGATGGCCCAACTAGAGAAGGGGCAAAACTTTACCTCCTCTTGGGAAATAAGGCAGGGCGAGTGACTGAGGTGTGAGTGGGGCAACACTTTGGGAGCAGTGACCATAATTCTATTTGTTTTAAAATAGCTATGGAAAAGGATAAATCTGATCCACAAGTTAACATTTTAAATTGGGGCAAGGTCACTTTTGACGGTCTTGAACAGGAACTTTCAAAAGTTGATTGTGGGGGGCTGTTCGCAGGTAAAGGGGTGTCTGACAAGTGGGAGGCTTTCAAAAGTGAGTTAATAAGAGTTCACGGACAGAATGTTCCCACTGGTGTGGGAAGGGAAAGGCTGGCAGGAGTAGGGAACACTGGATAAATAGGGATATTTAGGCTCTGATCAAGAAAAAGGACGAGGCATATGTCAGAAATAGACAGCAGCGATTGAGTGAATCCCTTGTGGGGTAGACGGGGTGTAGGGGTACACTTAAGAGAGAAATTAGGAGGAAGAAAAGAGGACATGAGATAGATAAGGTTAAGGAAAATCCAAAGATATTCTATAAGGATATTAAGAGCAGAAAGAGTAATCCCTCTCAAAGATCAAAAAGGCCGTCTATGTGTGGAACCACGGGAGATGGGTGAGATCCTAAACAAATATTTTGTATCATTATTTACTGTGGGAAAAGACATGAAAACTAGGAAACTCGGGAAAATAAATACCAATGTCATGAAAAAAGTCCATATTATAGAAGGGAAGGTACTGGAGGTCTTAAAACGCATAAAGGTAGATAAATCCCCAGGACCTGATCAAGTACATCCAAGGACATTGTGGTAAGCTAGGGAAGAAATTGCAGAGCCCCTAGCAGATATATTTGTATTATTGACAGCCACAGATGAGGTGCCAGAAGACTGGAGGGTGGCTAATGTTATGCTATTATTTAAGAAAGGCTTTAAGGAAAAGCCAAGGAATTACAGACTAGTGAGCCTGAGGTCATAGGTGGGTAAATTGTGGAAGGGGATTCAGAGAGACAGAATCTGCATTCCTTTGGAAAGGCAAGGTCTGATTATGGATTGTTAGCATGGCTTTGTGCATGGGAAATCGTGTCTCACAAACTCGATTAACATTTTTGAAGACATGACCAAGAAGACAGATGAAGGCAGAGCAGTAGACATTGTTTACATGGATTTTTGCAAGGTCTTTGACAAGGTTCCGCATGGTGGACTGATTAGTAAGGTTAGCTCAATGGAATCAAGGGAGAACTAGCCAATTGACTACAAAACTTGCTTGAAAGAGGATGTTGGTAGAAGTTTGTTGTTCAGACTGGAGGCCTATAACTAGCGGCGTGCCATAAGAATCAGTGCTGGGTCCACTGTTGTTCATCATTTACATAAATGATTTGGATAAGAAAATATGAGGCAGGTTAGTAAGTTTGCAGATGACACCAAAATTGGTGGTATAGTGGACAGTGAAGGAGGTTATCTAAGAGTACAACAGGATCTTGATCAACTGTGTCAGTAGGCTGAGAAAAGGCAGATGGAGTTTAATTTAGATAAATGTGAGGTGTTGCATTTTGGTAAGACAAACCACGGCAGGACTTGCACAGTTAATGGCAGAGCCCAGGGGAGTGTTGTAGAACAGACAGACCTAGGGGTGCAGGTACATAGTTCCTTCAAACCGGCATCACAGGTAAACAGGGTGGTAACAAAGGCATTTAGCAAACTTGCCTTAAATCGGTCAGAGCATTAAGTGCAAGAGTTGGGACGTCATGTTACAGCTATACAAGACATTGGTAAGGCTACATTTGGAGGGCTGTATACAATTCTGGTCGCCCTGTTACAGGAAGGATGTTATTAAATTGGAAAGGGTGAAAAAAGGATTTACAAGGATGTTATTGAGACTGGAGGTTTTGAGTTAAAAGGAGACGCTGGATAGGCTGGGACCTTTTTCCCTGGAGTGTAGGAGGCTATGGGGTGCCCTTAAAATCATGAAGGGTATAGATAAGGTGAATAGCTGAGCTATTTTCCCCAGGGTAGGGGAGTACAAAATGAGAGGGCATAGTAAATTGAGACGGGAAATTTTTAAAAAGGGACCTGGAAGGCAACTTTTTCCACACAGAGCGTGTTGTGTAGTGAAATGAGCTGCCAGAGGAAGTGGTAGAGGCAAGTACAATTACAACATTTAAAAGGCATCTGGCAGGTACGTTGGTAGGAAAGGTATAGAGGGATATGAGCCAAATGCAAGCAAATGAGACCAGGTCAGTTTAGGGAACCGAGTTGACGTGGATGAATTGGGCCAAAGGTCTGTTTCCATGCTGTATGATTCTATGATTCTTCATCTCTATAACCTCTTAAAGCTACACAACTCTGAGGTATCATCACTCACCCTATTCTAGACTGGAGTTACCTCGCTTTTAGCTGTTTTAGCGTTGGCGTCATTCTTTGAGATCCTGTGCTCTCCCTAAGTTGCTTTACTTCTCTACATCTAGTTCCTGAAATCCTACCTCCTAAACTTAAGCTTTTGGATATTTGTTCTGCTTTCTCTTCATGTGTCTCAGTGTCTAATGTTGTTTGATAACACTGCTAATTGCCATGATGTATTTTACTGTGCTGTAGTAAAGACTTTGTATTGAAATCACTAACTTCTCTAGAGCAACTAAGGATGGCAATAGATATTGGCCAGCCAGTGACGCCCTCGTCCCATGGGTGAATAAAAAGAAATTTGTCCAGAAGTACAGAGCTCAATAGGGCTTCCACTAATACTATTCCTAATATCCTATACAGATTTACCATTACATTTCCACTTTGATATGTTAGCATTCCATCAGCTTTATGGACCTCAAAGATGAGAAACTGCTTTTAACACTTTCTAAACCTCAAATCTCTCTATTCTTCACTAAAACCAAACTTTCTCAAAATCACTAGTGACATGTACCAGGTGCCCCTGTTCCTCACTGGTGACCTGTATCAGAGATCTTTGGCCCTCACTAATGACTTCTACCAGGGGTCCTTGCTCCTTGCCGGCGGTCTTCACTATAGGCTTTACTCCTTCATCATTGTTTCTAACAGATACTATTTGGAGATCTGTGCTGGAACTGAGCAAACTCTGTCACTCCAGAGAGGGATTCTGATACGTACCACATAGCCGCACTGTGCATACACCATGACAATCAGGAAGAGGCAAAGGAAGGCAGGCATCAGCTCTCGGATCATACACTGGAACACCCTCCCAAACACACACCATCTCCGCACAAAACGAAACTGTCCTACAATCTAGAAAAAGGAAGCATTAAATAGTATAGCTATTATTGTTGCTATTTTATTACTGTTGCAATTTTAGTATTGTTGCTATTTTAATTTTATTGTTTTATTGCTACTGGATGTGGAATTAACGGACACCAGGGAAAGATTCCTGATCTACTTAGAATAGTATCATGGGAACCTTCACTCCACCTTAAAGACAGGTAGTTGTTTAACATCTTGCCTGTAAGACAGCACCTCTGTCATTGTGGCACTCTCTGTGCGGTACAATCATGTATCAGCTTAGATACCGTGTTTAAGTCTCAAGACTGGGATTCAAGGCCACAGCCTTTGCCACAGCTTTGTGACAGATAAGTGAGCAAAATACACACAAAAAGATGTCACCAGCTGCATGTGAGCTCATGGTGACCAACATCAACACAGAAACAGATTGGGGACTAAATGGATAACTCTTCTGAAGAGTTGTGTCCAAATGGTTTGCTGAGAGGGTTCTGGTCCTCCTGTTTAATCAGATGTTTGTATTCCCCCCTCCTCTCTCACGTAATTGTTCACATACCTTCAAGGTGAGGATGGTGAGCAGAAATGCGGCGAGACTGGTGACCCCCTCAGCCAGACACGCAACATGGTAGAAACTAACAAACTGTTGGGGGTTGTACTTGTAGAGGCTGAGCTGCCGGTCAGCGAGTCTGATGTGGCTGAAATGGAGGCCAGGGATGAGGATGCAAAGGAGGATGATGAGCAGCTGGAGGTACCTGTGGCCCTCTTTGAAATAAGCCAAACCCTCCCTGTTCAGAGCGATGACCTCAGCGACCAGAAAACAGAGGCTGAAGAGGAATAGCAGCACCTGCACAAAGAGAAGGGAATAGTCAGAAGGAGGCCACACCAACAGCACCATCAGTCTCCTGTTCCTGAGGAACACCCAGTTCCTGAGCCTCCAAGATCAATGCTGGGACACACTGTGATGATGATGTTCAGAACAGCTCCTTTAGCCACAGGTCAGGGCATTGCAGTCCTTTTCCCTAAACTCCAGTGTGATTTTTACATACCCACCATCTCTGACCCTCAGGCTTTACCAATTTACCATAAAATCTCAGCAGTCGGGTGTGGGGGAAATGGAACCAAAACCAAATGTGAATACACAAACAACAACTTCAGAGCATTTCAGGATCACTTGCAGTGGGTAAAGAGAGGGTATGCAGGTTTCAAAGTAGGAGCCCTGCAGTCAGAACTTACCTGAGAGATTAAGCAACAGAAGCTGGGATCTGCTCAGATGTTGGTGTCTTTAATTGGGAATTAAACATTCACAACACAAACTCTCCCTTTGTCCACCCCTCCTCCAAAATTGCTTTTTTTCCCTCCTTATTCATTCACAGGATGAGGGCATCGCTGGCTAGGCAGCATTTATTGCCGATCCCTAATTGCCCAGAGGGCAGTTCAGAGTCAACCACATTGCTGTGGGCCTGGAGTCACATGTAGACCAGACCAGGTAAGGAAGGCAGTTTCCTTCCCTAAAGGACATGTGTGAACCAGATGGGTTTTTCCTGACTATCGACAATGGAATCACAGTCATCATTAGGTTCTTAATTCCAGATAATTCCACCATCTGCCGTGGCGGGATTTCTACTCTGACTGCTAATCAGAGTAGGAATGAAACAAAAGGCAGGATAAATGAGTGGCTTGAGAGATGGTGCAGGAGGGAGGGGTTCAGATTTTTGGGACATTGGGACCGGCCCTGGGGGAGGTGGGACTATTACAAATTGGACGGTCTACACCTGGGCAGGACTGGAACCAATGTCCGAGGGGGTGCTTTTGCTAACGCTGTTGGGGAGGGTTTAAACTAATGTGGCGGGGGATGGGAAGCAAATGAGGAGGTTAGTGGACAGTAGGGAGGTGGTATCTAAAGCCTGTAAGGAACTAGATAATGAAGTCAGTGTGACTAAGGGGAAGAGTAGGCAGAGAGCAGTTGATGAACGCAAAGGGACAGGTGGTCTGAGGTGCATTTGTTTCAATGCGAGAAGTGTAGTAGGTAAGGCAGATGAACTTAGGGCTTGCACTAGTATCTGGGAGTATGATGTTATTGCTATTATTGAGACTTGGTTGAGGGAAGGGCAAGATTGGCAACTAAATATCCCAGGATAAAGATGCTTCAGGCAGGATAGAGAGGGAGGTAAAAGGGATGGAGGAGTTGCATTACTGGTCAAAGAGGATATCACAGCTGTGCTGAAGGAGGGCACAATGGAGGACTCGAGCAGTGAGGCAATATGGGCAGAGCTCAGAAATAGGAAGGGTGTGGTAACAATGTTGGGGCTGGACTACAGGCCTCCCAATGGTGAGCATGAAATAGAGGTACAAATATGTAAATAGATTATGGAAAGATGTAGGAGCAACAGGGTGGTGGTGATGGGAGATTTTAATTTTCCCAACATCGACTGGGATTCACTTGGTGTTAGGAGTTTAGATGGAGCAGAATTTATAAGGAGCATCCAGGAGGGTTTTATAGCGCAGTTTGTAAATAGTCCAACTGGGGAAGGGGTCATACTGGGCCTGGTGTTGGGGAATGAGCCCGGCCAGGTGGTTGAAGTTTCAGTAGGGGATTACTTTGGGAATAGTGATCACAATTCCGTAAGTTTTAGAATACTCATGGACAAAGACGAGAGTGGTCCTAAAGGAAGAGTGCTAAATTGGGGGAAGGCCAACTATAGCAAAATTCAGCAGGAGCTGGGGAATATGGATTGGGAGCAGCTGTTTGAGGGTAAATCCACATTTGATATGTGGGAGGCTTTTAAAGAGAGGTTGATTAGAGTGCAGGACAGACATGTCCCTGTGAAAATGAGGGATAAAAAGGGCAAGATTAGGGAACCATGGATGACAGATGAAATTGTGAGACTAGCAAAGAGGATAAAGGAAGCATACATAAGGTCTAGGTGACTGAAAACAGACGAAGCTTTGGAAGAATATCGGGAAAGTAGGACCAATCTGAAACAAGGAATTAAGAGGGCGAAAAGGGGTCATGAAATATCTTCAGCAAACAGGGTTAAGGAAAATCCCAAAGCCTTTTATTCGTATATAAGGAGCAAGAGGGTAACTAGAGAAAGGGTTGGCCCACTCAAGGACAAAGGAGGGAAGTTATGCGAGGAGTCAGAGAAAATGAGTGAGATTCTTAATGAGTACTTTGCGTCGGTATTCACTGAGGAGAGGGACATGACAGATGTTGAGGTTAGGGATAGATGTTTAGTTACTCTAGGACAAGTCGGCATAAGGAGGGGGGAAGTGTTGGGTATTCTAAAAGGCATTAGGGTGGACAAGTCCCCAGGTCCGGATGGGATCTAGCCCAGGTTACTGAGGGAAGCGAGTGAGGAAATAGCTGGGGCCTTAACAGATATCTTTGCAGCATCCTTGAGCACGGGTGAGGTCCCGGAGGACTGGAGAATTGCTAATGTTGTCCCCTTGTTTAAGAAGGGTAGCAAGGATAATCCAGGTAATTATAGACCAGCGAGCCTGATGTCAGTGGTGTGGAAGCTGCTGGAGAAGATACTGAGGGATAGGATCTGAGATAACAAGGGATAGAGCTGGATGAACACAGCAGGCCAAGCAGCATCATAGGAGCTGGAAGGCTGATGTTTTGGGCCTGCCCGAAACGTCAGTGACGTCAGCCTTCCTGCTCCTATGATGCTGCTTGGCCTGCTGTGTTCATTCAGCTCTACACCTTGTTATCTCAGATTTGCCAGCATCTGCAGTTCCTACTATCTCGGAGGGATAGGATCTATTTACATTTGGAAGAAAATGAGCTTATTAGTGATAGGCAGCATGGTTTTGTGCAGGGAAGGTCATGTTTTACCAACTTGATAGAATTCTTTGAGGAAGTGACAAAGTTGATAGATAAGGGAAGGGCTGTAGATGTCATATACATGGACTTCAGTAAGGCGTTTGATAAGGTTCCCCATGGTAGGCTGATGGAGAAAGTGAAGTCGCATGGGGTCCAGGGTGTACTAGCTAGATGAATAGAGAACTGGCTGGGCAACAGGAGACAGGGAGTTGTAGTGGAAGGGAGTTTCTCAAAATGGAGAAGTGTGACCAGTGGTGTTCCACAGGAATCCGTGTTGGGACCAGGGTTGTTTGTGATATACATAAATGATCTGGAGGAAGGTATAGATGGTCTGATTAGCAAGTTTGCAGATGACACTAAGATTGGTGGAGTCGCAAGTAGTGAAGGGGACTGTCGGAGAATGCAGCAGAATATAGATAGATTGATGAGTAGGGCAGAGAAATGGCAGATGGAGTTCAATCCAGGCAAATGCAAGGTGATGCATTTTGGAAGATCCAATTCAAGAGCGATCTGTACCGTAAATGGAAAAGCCCTGGGGAAAATTGATGCACAGAGAGATCTGGGTGTTCAGGTCCATTGTACCCTGAAGGTGGCAACGCAGGTCGATAGAGTGGTCAAGAAGGCATATGGCATGCTTTCATTCATCGGACGGGATATTGAGTACAAGAGTTGGCAGGTCATGTTACAGTTGTATAGGACTTTGGTTCGGCCACATTTGGAATACTGCGTACAGTTCTGGTCGCCACATTACCAAAACGATGTGGATGCTTTGGAGAGGGTGCAGAGGAGGTTCACCAGGATGTTGTCTGGTCTGGAGGGTGCTAGCTATGAAGAGAGGTTGAATAGATTAGGATTATTTACATTATAAAGATGGAGGTTAAGGGGGGACCTGATTGAGGTCTACAAAATCATGAGAGGTATAGACAGGGTGGATAGCAAGAAGCTTTTTCCCAGAGTAGGGGGCTCAATTACTCGGGGTCACGATTTCAAGGTGAGAGGGGAAAAGTTTAAGGGAGATATGCATGGAAAGTTCTTTACGCAGAGGGTGGTGGTGTCTGGAATGCGTTGCCAGCGGAGGTGGTAGAGGCGGGCACGATAGCGTCATTTAAGATTTATCTAGACAGATGCATGAATGGTCAGGGAGCAGAGGGATACAGATCCTTGGAAAATAGGCGACAGGTTTAGATAGAGGATCTGGATCGGCGCAGGCTTGGAGGGCCAAAGGGCCTGTTCCTGTGCTGTAATTTTCTTTGTTCTTTGTTATCTGGATCTCTGGATTAACAGTCCAGCAATAATACCACTAGGTCATCACCTCCCCCATGTTTGACCCTCATTCCTAAAATTTGCTCACTTTTAGAAAACTAAGTATTTACTGCCCTTTCCGAGATTTGATAAATTTGGTTGCTTCACATGGCACCAAGAGGTCTACCATATTGGTGTGGGACTGAGGTCCAGGCAGGTAAGTCCACACAGGGTGAAGGTAAAGTCATCGTAATCCTACCATACTCTCAAGCTGCTCTCTTATTAGACAGATACAACTGAAAGTGGCTTAACACAAGGGTCACTATGCCCCAAGTGAGGGGACAGGTTGAGAAGAAGAGTCCTTTATGGTGAACTTAGCTGGTACAGGAATTGAACACAAGCTGTTGGGATCATGAATGCCCAGAAAGACATTACTGAGCTAACTGGTACTTTAGGACAACCTGAAACTTCACACACACTTTCACTAATTCACGTTCTTCCTTTCCTGCTACATTCATTAAACTGAATTATCGAATCACAGAACTGTACAACATGGAAACAGACCCTTCGGTCCAACTCGTCCATGCCGACCAGATATCCTGTATAAATCTAGTCCCATTTGCCAGCATTTAGCCCACATTCCTCCAAACCCTTCCTATTCGTATATCCATCCAGATGCCTTTTAAATGTTGTAATTGTACCAGCCTCGACCACTTCCTCTGGCAGCTCATTCCATACATGGACCACCCTCTGCATGAAAAATGTTCCCCCTTAGGCCCCTTCTAAATCTTTCCCCTCTCACCTTAAACACATGCCCTCTAGTTTTGAACTCCCCCGTCTGTGAGAAAAAGGCCTTGTCTATTTACCCTACCAATCCCCTCATGATTTTATAAACCTCTGCAAGGTCACCCCTCAGCCTCAGACACTTCAGTTAAAATAGTCCCTGTCTATTTCGCCTCTCCCTCGAGTTCAAAACCTCCAACCCTGGCAACATCCTTGTAAATCTTTTCTGAACCCTTTCAAGTTTCACAACATCCTTCCTATAACAGGGAGACCAGAATTGCATGCGGTATTCCAAAGGTGGCCTGGCCAATGTCCTGTACAGTTGCAACATGACCTCTCAATTCTTGTACTCAATGCTCTGACTGATGAAAGCAAGTATACCAAATGCCTTCTTCATCTCTGCCTGTGACACCACTTTCAAAGAACTATGAACCAGAATTCCAAATCTCCTACTAGCCTTGTGGGATTGGAACTCATTGGATTTGGGAATGCAGTTTTCTGGATTAATCGTCAAATAAATTAATAGACCAGCTTGCATTTATATAGTGCCTGTCATGATCTCAGAATTCACAAGATAACAAGGTGTCGAGCTGGATGAACACAGCAGGCCAAGCAGCAC